TCATCAAATATTTCACCTACATCACTACTCAACTTAGCATTCAGTTCTATGGGTGTTTCAGCTGGTTTTGCACCTAACAGTCCTGTTCCATCCAGCAGATCAAGAACATATTATCTTTGGGACAAGTTTACACCTTGTTTCAACCTGGCAACTTCTATACCCAAGAAATACTTCAACTTCCCAAGATCTTTTGTTTGAAAATGGTCTTACAGAAAGGCCTATAGTCTGTCAATCCCTAATCTACAACTGCCAGTTATGACTATATCATCCACTAAACTACTAATAAAATCTTTTTGGCTTCAGAATCATAGTTGAGCACTAAGTGGTTAACTTGAGCAACAAACCCTGGTGGTTGCTCCATATATATCTCCTCCACAAGGTCACCATGGAGGAAGGCATTTTTAATGTCAAAGCTGAAATAGAGGCCAATCATACATAACTGCCAAGGAAATTAAGACATGAACTAAACCAATCTTTGCCATAGGGGAGAAGGTCTCCATATAGTCCACCCCATACAACTGAGAATAACCTTTAGCAACTAGTCGGGCCTTCAACTGCTCCACACTACCATCTGGTAAACATTTAACAGTGTACACCCATTTACAACCTACAACATGCTTACTCGGAGGAAGTGTGGTGAGCTCCAGCTCCCACGTGTGAGTATGTTGAAGAGCAGAGAGTTCCTCTTCCATTGCTTGACGCCACTCGAGTGAAGTAAGGCCCTCCTGGACATCATTGGTTATAGATATAGAGGACAATAGAGAAACAAATTGGTAATGTGAAGTGGAAAGGTGAGAGACAAAAACATAATTCGAAATGGAATGTAGGGTACAACTACGTTTACCTTTCCGTAAAGCAATGGGAAGATCAAGGTCAGAAGGTTCTAGGACAGGAGCAACAACGGGATTTGTAGACGAGGTAAAAGCTGGAGGAGGTGCCGGTGTCTATCGATGAGTATACACGTGTTGGATTGGTGGAAGTTCGGTAGGAATCTGCACTGGAGGAGGTGAGGTTTCAGTCAATGGTGGAGAGGATGGTATTGCAGGCCCCAAAAAGAATGGTATGGACTCAAAATGGTGACATCAGGACAGAAAAATGTCTTCCTAGTGATAGGATTGTAAGACTTATACCCTTTCTGGGTCTGAGAATAGCCAAGAAAGATACACTTAATAGAGCATGCATCCAACTTGTCTAAACCAAGACTCAGATTGTGAACAAAGCACACACACCCAAAGACCCGAGGAGCTAATGGAAAGGGAGGCAAGGTGGGGAACAAAATAGAAAAGGGAGACCGACCGTGAAGAATGAAGGAGGGCATCCGATTAATAAGGAAACAAGCAGTAAGCACTGCATCACTCCAAAAACGTTTAGGAACGTTCATATGATGAAGAATAGACCGAGTAGTCTCAAGAAGATGACGATTTTTTCGTTCAGCCACCCCATTTTGTTTGAGGGGTAGATGCACACGAAGTCTAATGAATGATGCCATGTTGTTCCAAATATTGTTGAAAGTAAGAAAGTATTCACGACCATTATCTAAACGAAGAACTTTTATTGGAACACCAAATTGTGTACGTATTTTAGCATGAAATTTTTGAAAAATAGAAAATAATTCACTCATTTCTTTCATTAAATAAGTCCATGTCATCCTTGAACAATCATCAATAAAAATGACAAAATACTTGTAACCATTATATGACTCAATTTTAATCGGACCCCAAACATCTGAATAGACTAAAGCAAAAGGACTCAACATACAACTATCAACCCTAGGACTGAAGGAAACCCAATGGTGTTTCCCATACTGATATGACACACTGTAAAGAAGACAAATGACTCAAAGAAGGAACTAGTAGCTTGAGAGCCTTAAGAGATGGATGTCCCAGCCGACAATGCCATTGGAGAGGAGTTAAGTTTGAAGTGCAACTGACGATTCACCACCGTCAAGATAATACAATCCGCTGGCCTCATGCCCTCCACCAATCTTCTTCCCTGTTTTGAGATCCTGAAAAACACAAGATGAAGGGAAAAATGTAATAGAGCAATTAAGGGCCTTAGTTAATTTACTAACTGACCTGAGATTGAATGGAAATTTAGGCACATATAGAATAGATGATAAAGAAAGAGATGCAGTGTCAACATTACCAACACCACAAATGGGGGAAGAAGAACCATTGGCTAGGGTAACAGTTTGTGATATGGAAGTTTTAGAGAGGGAAGAAAACACACATGGAGTCCCGGTCATGTGATCAAAGGCTCTAGAATCAATAATCCAGTGAGAAGGTTTGGATACTAAACAGGCCATACCTGAGTGTGCAAGAGTGGCAGTGGTATGGTGTGAAGTGGCCCGAAGGAACGTCTCATACTCATCTCGTGGTACACTCATCATCTCTTTCTTAGAAGCAGATGTAGATGTGGAAGGTGTTTGATCTGTCTGTTGGTTATCACTCACATCACCCCCACTAGCAACTGCATGATTAGCCCATGTAGAAGGTGGGCCATGTAGGTCATAACAGAAATTAACCGAATGTCCTTCCCTGCCAGAATGTGTACACCTCCTAGTAGTGTTGCCTCTTCCTTTACCACGACCAAACAACTGGAGATCGAACTGGCAAACAAGGCGGCAAGAACAGGGAGGCGGCAAGAAGGAATTCAGCAAGGTTGCTTAATTCTTTTTCTGTGATTTCAGATGTCAAGAAGATGATTCTATGGCTGCCGCCCCCTCCTTCCTTTGTTAACCTAAAAGGATTAGCTCCTAATCCAATTAGGAGCTGCTTATCCAAATCATATTTGGATCAGCCCTCTCTTTAGGTGATAAGGATAAACCCTTATCTTATCTGTAGATTAGATTAGCTTTCTCCAAATCTCATTAGGAGGTTTCTAGATCTGAATCACATTCAGATCTGGACTCTCTGAGTGGATGGGGTCAAGACCCTATCCTATCTGCTAATCCAT